TGTTCCTATTTCACCTTTTCGAATTTATTCTTAATTATCATCTAGCATATATAAAAATATTTCAGTTTTTATTTTAAAATATTCCAAATAATATAATGAAATATTTTCCAAATAATATAATAAAATATTTTTCGTGTTAATTGATATTTCAAGATAGTTCAATATTTTATAAAATATTTCACAATAATGTAATTATTATATACTTTATATATAAGAATTAGATATTTTTAAATAGACTGAATTTTTATTAAAAGTTTATATTCAAGATAATGCTTGATAATTATAATTTACAATATTAAATATCTGTTTGAAAGGCAAAAAAATTGATTGCGCGTAATAATTAATTTTACAATCAATTAATTTAGATACTTAATTTTATTAGAAAATAGATTTATAAAAATATTAAAATTGAATGTATTTGCATTTAATTTGTGTTTGCGTAATGATTAATATTCGCGTCAGATGTTCTATATATGTAGCATCCCGAATTTTTCCTGACCTAAATAATCCGCGCGGACTGCTGAGCTAAATACTCCACGCGGACTTAATCGATAGCCAATAAGCATAGTTCCTCGATCCTTAAATCCAATAGAAAACCCGGATTTTGTCACTCGCGTCGTATCTCACGTCTTATTCGCGTTTCTTCTCGCATCCTTGTCGCACTCTCGTTGCATCCTTTTCTCTAATTGCTTTTAAAGGGCAAGCTCGAGCGAGCCTCGACTCGGCCTTATCTATTGTAACTCGATATGAACATAAAAACTCGATATGAAGATAAAAACTAAGCCAAAATAATACCGATTTTCATATCCGCCTGTCATCACTTTCTTATCGCGTACAAGATTTATGTCTCAATTTAGTTACACACAAATTTACTCACACAAATGTATTTCATATATTTCAGTTACTTACACACTCGTTTGTACGGTGTAGTTTTGAGCATTTTCTTTTTAAATTCGATTTATTAAAGGTGTACTTTATATATTATTCATATATTACAATTAAAGCAATCAATGTCATCTGTATAAATGTTTAGATATACATATATTCTTTTGTTTTTCAGCTATAAAATATTGTTGTAATTAACGTACATTAATTCATTGATAATTTCGATTTGCATTTAAAAAAAAATATATTTAAAACATTTTAACTATATCTTCTAAAAAATTATTTGCAGATTTTAAAAACACATTTATTGTTCTATATAAATAATTCGCAAAAAATGTTATAAAAAGACAATGCTTATTTAAATGAGAAATACGCTGTATTATATTGTAATCAATAAAAATTTTCATTGATTCAGTTTAAGATAGTATGTTTTATATATACAATTAGAGACAGCTATCCAGATTGCTTTTATCTTTCGGTCGACATTTCGCATATAAGAACGGAAATAAATAATAAGAAAAAGAATTATGCAGTTATATATTAATATGAACGCTGTTGCAAATCTAAGGAGCAGCAATTGTGATAGTAATTATTATATATAATATATACAAATATTAATATATACAAATATAATATTAACAAAATATATACAAATATAATATTATATATAATGTACTTATTATATAATTTTCTCATTGTTATTTATTATTCTAACATCTCTGTGAATTATATTCCAATTTTTCTTTATTAAAGAAAATGATCGTCGTGTATCTAATCTTTTATTCAATAATATTCATATAAGTAGACATTACAATGAGAAAAAAAAATTTATTTTAACTAAATGCTTACATACGTATTTCGTACATGACGTAAAAATCAGAAGCGCTATAATGAGCCAGATTACATCATTGAATGGTATATAATGAATTCCACACATAAATTATATAAAATTATATATAATATAATTTTCTCTCTCTTTCACAAATTATATTATGTCATAAATTTATATAATACAACCCCCCCACGGGTACACCTTGACGTGGTGGGGTGGCTCAGTACTTGGATGGTGCCTTGAGGTTTATTTTAAATTTTTTTATTTGGGATAAATCTCAAGGTGCCTGAATGGGAAGCTAAGTACCCTTTCGCATCGTCGGTGCCGTCAACGTGTCGTGGACGGCAAGTGCTTCGTCAACGCGTCGCGTTTTCGCGTTGTAATATTCTCGCGTTTTCGCGTTTTCGCGGAACTTTTGGACTTTTTCATATAAAATCCCAATTTCATTTATTGTCACGAGTCTCCACTTCCGATGCCAATTAACTGGGATGTACGAGTTTGCACACGTTGCTCTGCGACGTACACTCTTGCTTCGTGCTTCGTCAAGTAATTCGGCCCGAATTAGTTAGAACTCGATCGATTGCTCGGAATAGTCTTCAATGGGTCCCTTCTCTTTGCTCGTCTACAGCCACACGCACTGCGTGTGTTAACCCTGTCGAGGAGTCGACTGGATTCCCCTAGGCATGATTTTCGCTCGGTAAAAGGGGTTGCCTCCCCATTTTCTAAATTGCTAGTTGTAAGCATTTAAAAAATGTGGGTATCCTCTTCTTTTGCCGTCTACCAGCCTGGTGTAGCCATATCCTGCATTGCGGGAAACTTCGTGTTCCGGGCGAAGCACCTGAAATCATGCTTAGCGGGTCCAGGTTCGATATGAGATAGGATAATTATGCGCGAAAAAGAGTTGGTGAACTTCATTTTCCTCTATTTCCGTCAATCGTTTCGTCTTCTTTCCGGTTTGGGCTTAATTCTTGCTCGTTGTATCGTTGCATTCCCGACCTATTGACCTGAAGCGGATTCTCGTAAGTGAAATGGGATTTTCGTTCGTACCGAAACCGGGAGTGCCGTTAAAAGTATATACATATTAAGTATATACATCGCGCGATCAAATATAAAATTTTTAATCGCATCGAAATAGTGCGGGAGTGCCGTTTAGTATCGCGCGTAAAATAACGAAAATAGCGATATAAAAATATCGCTCGTGAGTGCGGGAGTGCCGAAAAGTATCGCGCGTTTAAGACTGAGAGGAGGAGGAGGCCTAGGAGAGGCATCGGGCTCCGGCAGAGCAACCTTCTGGTAAATAATTTCTTTATTTGTAATTATATATTAAATATTAAATATATTTATTATAATTTAAATTAAACAATTAATCGTGTAATTTGATTTTTTATTTATATGATTTAAATAAGAGAGAATTAAAGATAAAGATTTTTAAATAAAAGCTATAATCTTGTAAGAATATAAGCTTTTATAAAATTAGTGAAGATAGAGAATTATTAATAAATGTTCTGTTTTCTTTTATTTTATAGAATTATTTTATTAATTTGATTATTATTATACATATCATATATACAAATATATATATAATCTCATATATATATATATATATATATATATGTATATATATATATATATATATATTACATATATTATATCGAATATAATTCAATGCATACAATAATAATTTTTTGAAATATTAATTATTTTAAACTCCACTACAATTTGAATCTTCTCTTTATATGTTATAGATCGACGAAGCAAACCTGACGATCTGAGAGGAGGACCAGGCCTAGGAGAGGCATCCTGCACCAGCGGAACAACCTGATGGTATTATTATTGTATATATTATCTATTATAAATTGCATTAGTTTGCTTCACTTATTCAAATGATTTAAACAAGAGAGATTGAAAGAAAAAGATTTTATATAAATCCTATAAAAAAAGTTTCTATTTAAAAAATAGTTTTTTTACAATTTATAAAATTATTCCATATTTATATACTTGTTTATTATTGCTTGTATCGAATATAAAATTCGTTGCGTACAATAATAATTGAATATAATAATAAAAAAAATATGTATATATATATATATATATATAAAATAAAATATTAATCATTTTAAACAATGCTAATTTGAATTTTATGTTTGTATGTTATAGACAACGTAGCTTCGAAATCGACTCCGCTGTTGCGCATCAGTGTCGGTGAGTCAAAAACTTTTATTTACTTTTAAGGTAACGAATTTGTGGAGTTTGTAGATGTAGATTGTAGATATAGATTGTAGATTATAGGTTCGTTACCTTAAAATAAATGGGCTACAACAAATTAAACAATTTACATTTAATATATATATATATATATATATATATATTTATATTAACTTTAATACGTATATTAACTTGAATAGTTCTTTTCAATATATAGTAATACAGCATTTTAAGAATGCAAATTTAAAATTAAATAAATATAGAAAAAAAATCTTTATTTTTTATCAATTCTTTATTACAGTCAATTATTTATTTTGTTTAATAAAGAACATGCTATTAACTTTATTAATATTTTATATAATAATTTGTTTCTTTATAACATGCTGATTTTGTTTTAATTTTTCGTAGTCCATCTATTTATGTAGTGTAGCATATCAGAAACTTTGCTTTGACTATTATAAATCTAAGTTATTGATTAAGTAAATCATATATAATATTTTAAAAAATTAATGAATAAATAAGTAAATATAAAGAAAAAATACAATGAAAAATATAAAAATGTATGTTCAATTAATTTTATTTTATTATAAGTTTATTATAAATTTTGTTACAAATATTTTATATACGTATAACGTATATTTTATATACGTATTTTATGTACGTATATATACGTATAACATAAAAATTTCAATCAATTAATTTTGATAGATGACTTAGTATTATATTAGTTAAAGCAAAGTTATATTAAAATGACAATGGTCGTTACATATTACGACTATAAATGAGCGTAAAATTACGCTCATGCGAAAATAACTTGAACAACGAAAGGAGTTATTCTCCTTTATTGACCTTAGAGAGGTCTCTGAACTTTTTGGCTAAAAGTAGCCAAATTAAATATGGTCGTGATCAGTGAAAGGTAGGTTTAACTGAGCCGACAAATTATTTTAAATAAGATGAAGAGGATGACCAAAATATTGGTCAGAATTAAAAATCGAAATATACATATGTATTTCTATGTGCAATAGCACGCAATAAAATAAACGCGTAAAATAAACGGGTCCGACATAAAATACACGTTAACATTTAAAAAATAAATCAAGACGCGTAAAATAAATGGCGACAAAAAGGAAATAGGTTCGCGAATCGTGTTTAGGGCACATTTCCTAAATCGCGGATTTAAGTAATCGCGGATTTTTGCTGGCCTAATCAGCAAATAAAACTGCTACAGTTTTTAGGATCGGTAGGGCTGTTAGGATGGATAGGACTGTTAGGATCGGTAGAACTGTTAAGATCGGTAGGGTTGTTAGGATTTGTAGGATTGTTAGGATCAATGTAGGGCTGTTAGGATGGATAGGGCTGTTAGGATTGATAGGCCTCTTAGGATCGATAGGCCTGTCAGGATTGATAGGGCTATTAAGATCAATAAGGATTGTTAGGATTATTAGACTATGAATTGTTAAACTATAGTATTTTATATAGTAAGATAATTACTATATAATATACTATAAAGCTTTTCCTTATTAAAACATAAGATATAATTTAAGAGCGCAAAATTGTATATCATAATATGTAAAATTGTATATTAATTGTACTCTGAAAAAGCTGTACAATCAAGATTGATGTATAGCGTTTCACATCATTCTTGATTTTTTAATAAATATTCACATTGCATATATAATGTGAGTTACATGTAATGTGGATGTTTAATAATTTGATTGTGTTGTAAATTACGTTTTTATATACGAATTATATTATTAATTATATTAATAATATTATTACGTTTTATATACGAATTATATTATTAATTATATTAATAATATAATTCGTATATAAAAACGTAATTTAATTAATTATATTAATAATATAATTCGTATATATAAAAATAAATATAATATAGTAAATATTGTATGTCATTATAAACATTTTATATAATGTTAAGTTTAAATGTAAATGCTATCATTATCTAATAATGCCGATAATTAAGATATTAAATAAATTATATATTAGAACATAAATAATTTCTTTTTTTTTTTAAACTTACAGTTTATATACATATATATATATATATATATTCGATTTGATAAAATATTGTCATTTCTCAATTTAAGCAATAAAAGACGTACTTATTTTGGAACATTTTTGTGCAAATTTGCAACTGATATCGACTTATTTGATAGAGATGGCATCATTGTAATCTTTATTCTACATCTATACTATGTATATAATCAATATATTGTAATTTATATATTGTAATAATTTATATATAATATATATATGTAATTATATATTGTAAATTATATTAATTGCACGAAATTGAAAAAAATGCACATAATACATAACGCAAAGTTTACAAAATTAATATATATCCAATAAATACTCGTTGTCTGTTAGACATTTTATTTTAAAATTATTCTAGAATTTAATAGTCTGTTTTTGATACGAAAGTTAATAAATACGGAAAATTTTTATTTCTAAATTTCGTAGTTTCAATTATCTTTTTAATTATTATAATGCGTAACATAAAAATGATTAAATGTATGTGATTTGATATTAAGCCAACGATGCAATATTAATTTCTCACTCGCGAAATGTAATACTTGCTTTTTCGATAATGCAAAATCGCAATTTATCAAAATTATTTAGAAGTTCAGGATTTTGTCAATTAAATATATTCGTGAATTTGCGAATTGAAATTAAATATTTGTTAAATAAATGAATAATATTTGTTAAATAAATGTATAATTAATATTAAAAACATCGCGTTTTTTTTCGTCTTTTTGGTTTGAGGCGCGATTGCTATCTTATTGTCTTTCGTGTAAATACTAACGCGGTTCGTACTATCGAAGAAATGGTCTTTATTGAAATATAATTTCTCGTCGGTTCTTGAACAATTAATCCACAACGAATTCAATTCCTCGTTGAAAAGGGGTTTTCGTTGCAGAGCTGGAATTAAACCCAGGTTTTTTCGATAGTTCCTGGAAGCAATGGTTTTAACAATGAGTTAACGACAGATTTTTTTAAAGTCGAATTACGAAATTATAATTAAATAATATACTTTGAATAAAGAATTTTTTTTCTTTTATTAAATCTTTTTCTGTTATTATTATTCTTAATATTAATATCGGTTTAAAAATTTTTTATCACTTTGGAAAAGACTTATTGTTAGTAGTAAAGCATTGAACATGGATATAGCTATTATATAGAGATAAATATTAATTTACCAAATAGGTAAATTTAAATTGTAATTTATTTGTTCATCTATGAACTTTTTTTAACAAAATATATGGTTACGAACGAATATGTTTTATTAATTGATTTTTAATTAACTTTACTTTTGATCTCTTTTAAGAGATCATTTCTAGGTGTTGGACATCCTGCCATTTTAAGCCATTAATATTAATTTTTAAGTATAACTTTCGCTTGATACTTTATATAGAAAATTTGTTAGATATTTTACATGCAGGAAATATACGCGCAAAATGTGACACATTTGATAAAACTTTTCTTTTGTTAATATTATATCAATAATACACACAAATACACACAAATATACATGAAATGTACAAGTACTAAAAAATTCGAGGCAAGTCGAATGGGTACCCTGATATCAGTAAGATATCGACATATTAAAATATTATTAAATATATTATAAAAGAATTAATAATTTTTTATTTTACGTCGCGAAATATTAAATACGAAGTTTGTCAAAATCTTGCTATTATTGGGTTCGACTCGTCTCGAACAGTTGGTACCCGAAAATTATTGTACTCGTACATTTAACAAGCGATAAATGCGCATATGTTTCATGATTCTTAAACATACTCGTTTGTAACCATGCACAGTTTCATAAAAAATAGTTATATTATAATAGTTTCATTATTTATTAATAAAAAGACATTTCTAAATAATGGAAGAACATTTTTTCGCGTAAATTTCGATCTTGTGAATGAAAGATGGTGATGATAATTGTCATTGATTCATTGAAATGTTAAAATCATTGCTATTGGGAATGGTCTGGAAGATCTGAGAGTCGTTCCATTTTGCAGCAAAACTCTTGATATTTGACGAGTCGTTTAATTTTCCTTTGCGGATCAATCTCGATAGAATTCTACGTAAAACATACGTTAAAAAATAGTTGCTCTCTACATTTAATTCTCTACATTTAATTCTTTTTTTACCTGTCGGATATTAACTGACAATCGGGCGAAATTATTTTAATTTTTCGAATTGTTATCATCAGTTTATCCGCGAGATATTTTCATCTTATATTTAATTGCTATTATTATTTTTGTACTTGATCGTTGGCTTATACAAAATTTTGCTTATTTTTTCACGTGTCAAACTTTCTTAAAAAATTAAAATATATCAATATAAATATTTTTCTTTTTGTAATTAAAAGATATAATTGATGATAAGATATAATAATTAATGAAGAAATATAATAGATAATGTAAATGAATTGGCGATTTTTTCGCAACTTATTCATATTACGCAATCCTTAATAAGTTTTGTAATGAAAAGTCGATAATTAATAAATATCACGAATAATTTGAATCGTCTGTTTGAAAATCATTTGATTTAATTTTGAATGAATGTTGTGTGCATTTCAGATATTTTCGTGTAATTTTGTATCATAAGATATTTTGTACTAATTTATAAATATTATAATTATATTTATAAATTATATATTGTAATTATATTATATAAATATTATAAATTCTTATCATAAATATATTGTATATGTTGTAAATATTATTATATATTGTAATAATATTTTATAAACTATTTATGTTATACTTTATAGTTCAATTATTGTATATTCTAAATTGAATATGAATTATATATTAATTGTATTAAATACATACAATAGTGTATATTGTGTATATTTTCAATACTTTAGAAGTAAAATAATTTTGTAATGTAATAATTTATATAACAATTTTATAAAATAATTTTATAAAATAAGATATTTTGTATTAATTTATAAATATTATAATTAATATATTATAATTATATTAATATATTATAATTATATGTAATTATATTATATAAGTATATTATATTTTATAAAATATGTTACTTTCTACAGTTCAATATTATTTTTGTA